TGCACAATTGGTGGCTGACTAAATACTTTTTTGCCCCACTGTAGTTATTGCTGATAGAGCCCAAGGATGTCATTATGTTTTAAGCTTTGTACACAAAGCAACGAACCTTCATGAACTGCCTGTATCTTTATCATATGTTATTAAAAAAAGTTTATTAATTATTCTACAAGCATACATTTGAGCCAAAGGAAGACTATACAGATGATAGACACCTAACTATTGCTTAAGTTCACATTGGGTAACACAGTTAAAGATAAAATGATAATCGCAACTGGAATAACATAATATATTATTTTGTGTAATCCTGAATTTATTTATTGTTAAATTCAAGACTACTTTCTGAAAATGATCCTCCATATATATTCTTACTATAATTAATACACTCTGTAAAATACCATGTCTAGCAGTAATGTTCCCACTGCTCTCAATTTGGGAGTTCCTGAATTAAAATTAACTCCTACAAGTAGGACTGCCTTGTTTAGTGACCATTCGAAGTTACAACAGTTGGAAGAAAAACAGCTTTGCGACCAATCCTTGCATTTACAGCTGTCACAGCATCCCAGATCATGTGATCACCATTTGTGAGCTTCACAATTGGCTTCCAACAAATAGAATTGATGGAGAACACAGAAGTGAAACCATAAGTTGCAGTCATGTGATGTCTCGCTTAACAATAGCAGTGATTCGCTTAATGACAGAAGCAGAAGGGGCAGCATAAGTCAGGTGTGGTCACATGATTTTTCACTTAGTGACTGCGGTGCTTAGCGACTGAGTTGCTGGTCCCAATTGTGGTTGGTAAGCAAGGACTACCTGTACATGTAAATGCTTAGAGACAGACAAGTACAGTTCAGCAGTACAGAATAGCAACGGCCATCTTTTCTATAAAATCTTCTTTAAGAATCTGCTTTGGAATCTCATTTTATATATTTACATGTGAGGCAGTGACAGCAACAATTTCTGCCAATTTAACTGTCACCAGATATGCTTTACAACTACCCAGGTAACCAGAAGTTTTAATATTGCTGAACTTTTTGAGCTCTTCTCACATGCCAGTGCTATATTAAATTTTATTTAATAAATTTAATAAATTTATATTTATTAAAATATATTAAAATATATTTTAAATTTTCTTCCTGATTAATATTAGCCAAAGAAGAAATTTTCTGTTAATATATTTGAATATTACAATTAACATACACATTTTTGTAAAAAAAGAAAAAAGAAAGCACATGTACTATGAATCAAATAAAAGTAATTTTTATTTATTTTATGCCACTTGCCTAATATATTGGATTATATTCATGCAATATAATTTTTAAAAATGGAGCCTTTTAGAATATAGTAAGACCAGGATTTGGATCTGAAGATCAGTAACAAATCCATGACACTCAGTACAAAGAGAAGAAAAAAAGAACCACCACTCATTGAATTTTACTATATATTTTCTTTTTGAGCAAATTAAAGTTCCCTGGCAAGGGAAACCCTATTCTGCAAGGGATCTTTTGTCTGACAGGAGAAAAAGAAAATATTCAGTGAAATTATTAGAATCTGAGGTTAGAAGTACTTTGTCTAAAGAACAGGAAGCTCTTCATTTCCTATTGTTTGATATCCTACATATCAAAATGGAGATGTGGGGAGAATGCACCAGTTGAAAATCACTGCTATGTTTTAAAACCAAACTTATGAGATTATATAGAGCACTTTATAGCCGAACAAGTACTCAATTTCTTTGGCGCCTTAAATAATTGCTATTTTTCATATATTACTAAACAATTATGCAAATCTGATCAGTATTAATTTACAATTTACCATTTTACAATAGCTAGCAGAATATACTTTGAGTGATTATTTAGATTTTTATTATTTTAGGAAAGAATAGTACATAATACTAATTTAATATTATTTAGTATTACTATTTAATATTACTCTAAGTACATAATACTAATACTAGTATTTAGCATTTAGTACATAATACTAATTTTATGTGTCATGCTTCAGGCACAGTGGCAAATCACTTGATATTGCCATAGACAGAGATAGCATATATTTATTTATTCATGTCATGCATTAGATATGAATATATGTTTTAACTGTATTCTAGAGAAATTCATGCATGAGACTTCCTTAAAAATTGATGACTTTTAAAGCAATTCATTTAAGTTACAGAATTATAATATGCTGTTATTCTATTGTCTGACACTTGTTCAGTTCAAACCAGATGGATAGAAGAGCAAGATTTTCTTAGCACAGTAACATCCCTATCTCTTAGAATAATTTGTATGAAAACCTGAAATAAATGCTCATGCTTAATTGATGGGTAACATGTTATTCAATTTTATAAAATTGAAAGTATTTTAAATGTACAATTACAATAAGTTTTAATTTTAATAATGATATTCTTTAAATGAGAGACAGTCCTACTTTCTGTTCATGATTAAAAATGGATTTAAGTTAAAGAGCAAATCAATTATTTTAATTATTGTTATTATTCATAATCACCTGCTCTCCATATCCATCATCAGCAACTATTCAAACTAAGTATGAAATTTTGGTTTTAACTTAAGATTCCTCATTTTCTTTTCCATTTAATGTTCAACTATCAAAGAGTTTTGTGACTTCTCCCAATATATTTCAAAACAACATTCCTCTCTCTTTATCACCCTGACATCAAGTTTGCTTTGCTTGGGCACTTTCCCAATTTTCAATTTTTATTTATCTCTTTACTTTCACACTTTAATCCAAAAATCTAACTTTCCACATGTCCTATCTTTTCTCAGATACTGGTAATAGGTTTTGATCCCCTTTCAACCCCAGAAATCTGTATCGATTTTAATATTTTGTTTAGTAGGGAGCATTTTGTGAAGGCTATTTTTACTGTATCCTACTCACATCAGATAAATTTCATTCTTGTTAGTCTATTTACTGTGCACTAAATATACTTCAAACAAAGGCTGTAATCCTGAAAAATGAGCAGATATGTGAAATGCAAGATGGGAGACAACAACACACAACATTCTTCCTTACACATCACTCTCAGGAGAGGTTTAAGAACAAGTGCACTATATAATCATCACCACTACATCCTTTGGCATCCACTTTATATTATCCTTCATATATGTAAGATAACAAATGTGCATGAAGTTCTGATCTGTGATAACAGAAGACACTAAGGATTCTCCTCTTTCAAAAATTTGATTGGTTTTGGGTTAATTTCCTAAACTGACATCTTGGAAGGAATACAGATCTAACCTGCTGCAATCTATTTTTCCATGCAGACATTTCAAATGATATAAGCAAGCCAGGAAGACCTACACTAAAAGTGAAGGGAACACCATTCCCATTCTTTTCTTATCCGCTATGGCCTCCTTGGAATTTTGGGAAATCCCTTTCAGATTCTAAATTTGGCATTTCACTACTGCTTATTCTCTTCAGTCTAGCGAGAAAGTCTGCTCCATGCTAATTTTAAAAAGCACATCACCCAGCAGCATTCCCATAGTTTCAACAATTTCCATGACTTCAAAATTAGTCAGGTGCCGAAGTTCATAACAATGGAAGTTTTTCTAATCAGGATAGAGTCAACTGAAGCATTAAAAGCTGACTTAAAGCTATTAAAGGAAAGAGTCTGGTTTTATGTCTTATATTCACCATCTCAATCTGCCATGACAATTATGTTCAACTGTGTCTCACTGTGTCTTGCACTATTGCAGGAATTCTAGTGTGTCATTTTAAAACTTCAAACACTAAAGAGGAGATGAAATATTCTAAAAGCATGAGAAAAGGATCTTCCCTCAGTTGTAAACTAGATACCCATCACCAAAGATGCCCAAAAGAAATACAGCTATGGCTGTCAAGCTATTGATAAATGTATATATTTCCAAAACTCAACGTTTTTTTCATTTTTTTCATTTTTTAAAAACGTTAATCTTAAAAAAAGAAACTTTAAAAAATTAAAATACAAACTAAAAATATGAACTAAGAAGAAAAAAATCTATCTTAAATTATAAATAGTTACTACTTTATATTGACTACTATAATATAAACAATACAAGATATTATTGTAAGGTATCACAGAACCTCTGCCACAGTAACACATATTGCTGCATCCTTTGGTAGAAAATATTGCCTTTTCCAAAACAGATAGATCACACATTTCTGACAACCATTCCCTGACATCTGAAATAATACCACTTTTCCAATTTCTTAATAGAATCCTTTTTGCCACCCATCCCTCATCTCAATACAACCACAATTCCTGATAAACAGTCATATTCCAAAGCTTTCGTATATAATTCAACATTATATTAACATCTTTAACATTTAAAGATTTTCCCATAAATCTCCCAATATACACTAATTTATATCTTACTATTCCTCCAGGAATGCAAGGTGATATACACTCCCTTGTTCAGTTTTATCCCTGGAACAACACCACTAGCTGAGAGACGATGACTGGCCCAAAGTCACTTAGTGAACTTTCTTAGCTGACAATCAACTTGAACCTGAGTCTTCCTGATCCTCGTCCAACTCATTATCCAATAAGACACTGATATAGATGATAAAACAACTTTATTTTTCCTCACCCATGTAGTTTTCTTGGCAGCAATACTATACAAAAGTTGTTTGCCATCCCTTTCTTTTGTGGTTTTGTTTTTTTGTTTTTGACTTGCAATTTCATCCAGAGTTGTCAAAAGCCTAGTACTAATCCTGCTTAATTTTTAAGCCCAGACAAGGTCATTCAAGTACTGCCACCTGTTGAGACATAACCTTTATTATTTTTAAACAAAATAATCTCTCCAGATTTCTTTTCCTCTTAAAATGGAATGAGACTATTTACATATTTCTGGAGTTTTAAAAAGTAGTACAGTGGTACCTCGGGTTACGAACTTAATTCGTTCCGTGACTCTAGTCGCGACCCGAATTGGTTGCAACCCGAAGCAAATTCAGTTTCTTTGGAGCCATGCTAACA